GACAAAAATATCTCCTGTCTCTGTTTATATTCTCCAGCTTCCTGCTCAGAAGGGGCAGAGTGGGCATTTTTAATTAAAAACATTCGATTTTATCATGTAAATTGGTTTTGTATTTAAATGATGTTTCCCTTTTTAAAAATAAAACTATTGAAATTGAAGTTGAAAGAATGGCAGCTAGTAGGAGGCCGAACTTCCAATAATCTAGTAAAATAGATACAATTATTTTTGTACGCCTTTAAGCAGGCATCTGGAAGCAGAGTTTGTTCAAGAGGGTCCCCAGCTTTTGGCAGCAGTAGCTTGGGGGTAATATTTGCATTTCAGTTTATTCAAGTAGTTCAGTTCAATCACAAGTTCATTCATAGCTGAGAACCCGACAGGAATCTGAAAAAGCAGGAAAGCTTGTTTTCCTCTGTCAGTCTCTGAACAAAACTGGAGGTGGGAGGCTGAGATATATTACTTCACTTGCAAAATATGGGGACCAGAAATAATCACTAGAATTCAACTATATTTACATAATTTATGTTTATTTCCTTTGTTAATAAGATGGTTAATTTTAAAAGCAAAATATATTTTGATACACTTACTTCTTCCCTTTATGTATCCAGCACATCTAAGGAAGTTTTCTTTAATGAATAAACAATCATTTTAGAAGCCTGGGTTTGTGCATTTTAATTAAATTTCAGTTTCCATCTAAATGTAGCCTGACCCAAATAATGAGTCAAATTAGTCAACGTCTAGTAAATAAGAAAAGCATCATTCACCATTTTATAACATACTAACCATGTAAAAATTAAGACTCTGAATAAATGGAAGTTATATCCCATAACTGCCTACAGAAATGTGTGCTGGTCTCCCAGGTCTCCCGGCTACCAAAGGAGCAGCACATTCTGTGCAAAGGCTGTGTGGAGTTGCTAATCAGCATGGTTTAATGGTTACCAAGCACGGAGCATCCACCTTTCTCTGGGAAAACAACGACACATGCAAAAGAAGATGAATATCGATCATTTAAACCCAGGTTTCCCGTTGTGGTTTAAATCACGATTAAAATGGGCGATTTCAACCCCCGCCAGCCCTCCGGGAAGGGCGTTGGGACGTTGCTAGACGTGCTGCTGCAGTGCTGGCCCGGCGGAATGCCACGTTACACGGTGGCTGGTGGAAACTGACATTTCCACTGCGGCTTTCAGCCTTCAGAACATCGGAGCCTTCTGCCCAGCAGGGGTTTCTTTGGACGGTTCGGTGCTGAGTCTGGCGTTGCCTCATTCTAGGCAACAAGCAAATCCAGGGACGGCCACTGTCCTCACAACACACCCCAACAGACAGAGCGGCCGACCTGTGGCTCTGGGTAGGAGCCAGGGCTGAGCTGACTTTGCCGATGTCGGAACCAGGGACTCCATGGAGTTAGCACATTACTGATGCTTGGGGCAGAGTGGGGAAGCTACGGCCCAGGGGCTCGATCCAGCCCCTGGCTTCTCTGGATCTGGCCCCCGAGGCTTGGGGCTCCCCTCCAGCATCGGCGAGCCAGTGCTGGGCTCCAACTCTGCAGCTCCCTCCCACCAACCCCCAGCCTGCTCCTGCACCTTTCCACACTCCCAGATCCATCCCCCCCACGACACCCCAAGCCTGCTTCCCGGCAGCCCCCTCCCGCACACTGAACCCCGCCCTAGAGCCTATGGGGACCCACAAGTCTATGAGCCTGGGCCCCCTCGGTGTGCAAGGGGAATACAGGGAGTTTCTTTCTGTTTCTCAGTTGGGGACCACATCAGTGAGGAGCCTTTTGTTTTGGGTTTTTTTTGTTTCTCAGAGCACAGGAAGACAGCACACACACACACACGCACACACACACACACCACACACACACACCCCGCAAGCAGGAGCAGCTCGTCCTCCTCATTGGCTGGTGCCAGGAGAGCTGCCCCTTCCTGTTTCCGTTCACGTCAGCCCCCGTAAAAGCCCAAGATTCGTGCCATGATTGGAAACACCTGGACACGGGGCTGTGTCCTTCGGGCACGGAGTCCTCCTGGAGAACCAGGAGTCCAACGGTTGCATTTCTTAAGTCCAAGGCCTCAGGCCAGGCTCTCTTCCTTCTGCTTCTCTGGTGCGGACGGGGCATGAAGTCGCACGTTCGAACGCCTTCCCAGCACTGCAGTCCTTTCTTCCTTCCGCATGCAGCCGCCAGCGCCTCTTGGCCTTGCACCTCCCCTGAGCCGTGCTCAGCTGCTGGCCCAGGGGCTTCCGGCGCCCCCAACAGGATTGTGAGGGGAGTGTCTACAACTGGACTGCGGCCTGGCGTCACATCCTGTGTGATGACATCACACGGCAGCATCGTGATGTCACGTCAGTGCCCTAGCTCAGTGCAGCTGTGCCCGGCTGTGGGGAGTTCTCGCTCTCGGGTTACTCCCGGTGCTGCAGCCCCCGACATCCACCTGGACTGCGCACCGGGGCAGGGCTCGGAGCAGCTTTCTGTCCCTGCTGGGAGTTTCCACGCCACGAGCGCCCTAGGCACTGCTCACCCGTCCCAGGCAGTCGCTGTGGCCCTCGTGTGATGAGCGCTCATAGCGCCCTGAGCCAGGGCAGCACCAAATAGCCCCACGAAGCCCATTGCCCCCACTTCACCTCTCCGGCGCCTCATTCGCTGCGGGTAGGTGACCCTTGAACTAGGAATTACTTCCTGCCTCCTCGGGAGCATGAGCCGTGCCGAGGTGCAAGTGCAGACAGCAGGCCCACGTGTCCCCCACGGTTCCCTTTCTACCCGCGAATGCCCCTGTGCCACCCGCTGGGTGCCCGCCTGCCCATTCTAGCCACAGCGCAGCAATTTGTTCCCATACCCGGCGTGTTTCCGCGCACGCACCTAGCACAGCACCTGCTTCTGCCCGGAGCCTCTTCGGCCTCGGCACCTCTTCCCGCTTGCCAATGGCAGAGCATCGCAGCCTCATTCCAGGCAGGCGAAATGCCCCAGGGGAGTCTGAGCCACCAGCCTTGAGTCTCTTAGGCCCTGCCTCACTTCAGCCTGTGCCTCCTTGCCCTTGTCTTCAGCAGCTCAGATTACACGTGCTTGGCTGAGTGGTTGAAATGGGGATGTAATCATCTTTCCCTTCACAATGAGAGCTTTCCGTTCTCTGCCCAGCGTTGCCGTTAACTCTTTCCTTTTCAGCTTCTCTTCTGCTCATTTTAATCGGCGTTTGCTCTCGGAATCCAGCGCTTGGCCCCCTCCCTTCCCGCTTACCTTTGGCCCCAGCTGTTTGCACGGACTTATACACAGCGTGGCTGCTGGGCAAGCTGTTTGCCAGCATTCGTTATCTATTCAGGCAAGGTTTCAAATTTGTCTAGTTCCTCTAATCTCCATTTGGGAGGGCTTTTCTCCATAGCACTGACTATGCACTGACTCTATTTTTCCATTTAATCAGTGAATAATTATTCAGCTTCTGCTCTTCAGAAGCCCTGGTGAGTTTGGTGTGCCTGTTTGCTAGTCTTACTTTCTTTGTAAAGCTTTCCCTTTCGGCAATGTTGGATTTTTAACTTCGTGTTGCACCGCCCCTCAGATTGGTCCGGTTCAGTAGAGCATTCAAAGAACTCAAGTGTACCCTTAAACACGTACCTAAATCCTTTCCTGAATCGAGTCGTTCTTCTGTCTGACCAAGACCTGTCCGTGAGGGTTGCAAGTGAAATTTTGACTATGTCACTTTTCATGGAACAATCAGAATATTCTGAGGCCCTTGCTTTCTATATGGGTAAAATTTACAACACAACGCCCAGCACGTATTCCAGAGAGATTGCGGGAAACCTGAGCACAAGTTAAGGGGGAGGAGTGTCCTAAGTCTCTTTCGAAAATGAAACTTAGGCTCCTAAAACATATGTGCTTTTGAAAACATTTCTCCTACCTCTTATGGAAGGACATGTCCAATTGTTTCATTTACCTGCTTTTAACAAACTGGATTTGGTGTCCGATACCACATGGGCTGTGGATGAATTTTTGATCAAGGAACTTTGTGATCCCTTCTTGAAAATTTTCTGTGAGAGCTACTAAAAATCCCCAGGCTCCGATCGGAATTCCATCTCTAACTGTACCTTTTTGTCCAGAATTTGTGTAGTCTCTTAAAAAAATTATTCAGGGGAAAAGATTTATTCTCAACTGCAGAACTGTCATTAGACTGTCTGTGCCCAAACACCTGGACTTTCCTGTTCAGGTAAAATATACAGAATATTTAATTATGCAGATTAGCTTGTCTGCACTCGGCATTTCCTGGACAGCAATGGTTAATACTAACTAGCTAAACTTTAAAAACTTTTCCCCTGGAAGCATCTCCCGCTTTCCCATACCTAGTAGGTATAATTCTCTGCTCCTTGACATTGTTAATATTCCAATAGAAGTATATTAAAGAGACAACAGCAAAGGGATTGTGGAGCAACAATGAGAGAGTCCTAATATCTGCACATATAAATTAATTCTGCTGCTAGGCTGGAATTCTACTGACAGGCAGTGTTCTTATTCCTCCAGTCCCTATGATGAGCCAGAGACCACCTCCTTTTTAAACAAAATTTTGACAGAAAACCACAGAGAATAGTTCTTCTTTGTATAAATAATTACAAAGCTATACAGCAAAAACTTGTTCAAAGTGAAGAAGTTTAAAAAGCAACCTACCACCTTTAAAACAGTCATTTGTACTAAAATGTTGATAATGATTTGAAGTGAACTTTAAAGTTTATTTCTATTAAATTTAGCTTAATTGAATAAATTAATAGGAAACATTTAAGATTAGGACAAATGATTGCTTATAAATTATACACTAATTCCATGAACATTCTTGTAAGTTTGCACATGCTACAAAATAAAAAGTAAGGGGGAAAAATCATGCATGTCCCCCCATGCTTTAAGGAGTTTTGTAATTGGAATTTACACCATAACTTTGCTTGTCCCATTAGACGCATACTGAAAGATATGTTAAATTCATCATTCACTTGTTAAACTGGTTAAATATGAATATAAATATCTGAGCATTTACCTTGTTGTGACTAGGTGCAGCAGACAAAGTTTCAGGTGAGACCCAATGGCGTGCCTATGCTGAGCTGAGGAGAAGCCCATGGAGGATTAGGGTGTGTTAAGTCTTTCTTCAGACAGGTGCACAAACACTTCCCCCTTGTAGGTGCTACCTGCTCTTTACTGGACATTTATTACAAGTCAATGCAATTTCACAAAGCACCTGCATGCAATAAAAACCTATTACATGTGTGAGGCCTTAAGGAAATTAACAGTTCCTCCCTAGGGATGCATATTTTGTTAAGATGTTTATTACAGATGAAGTGGTCCTAGGGTAAAACATTAACAAGTTGTAGAGTGATAAAAGGAATTTTATCATTTCTCAGTGACATAAATAGGAAGAAACATTTAACTAAATCTATAAAATCCTGTTTCCTAATGAATTTGCTTTAACTATTTACTAACTGGATCAACTGACTGCGGCCAACATTGTTTGTTTGTTTGTTTGTTTCCCAAAGCAAAATGAATCCATGACCAGACATGTTCATTAACACGATTCGTTCTGCTACCAGAGATAAATAAAATAAATAACTGTCTGAACAGAGTAAGGAAAAATCAGAGCTCTGTGGTGAGATTCAGGAAAGCACGGTTTTAAAAGTTTGTTTGCTGTTGTCATATTGACTTAAGCATTAAATGTTAATTTCACCTTCTGTACTAAATTATAATAATATTATCCTTAGCTCTTACATTCCGTCATATTTTGTGACACGGTCCAGCAATTTATTTTTGGTTAGGGTTACAAAAGCGTATTCTTTTTTTAACACCAGATTAACCGCATTTGTCTGTGCTCCATTATTCGAGATGAAAGCATAGAGTGCTGGCTTTGGACATCACATGCTGAATCTAATTGAATTATATGAATGTAGTTAAATGTCTACTTCAGAAAGGCTATATTCACTTTCAAGATTAGTTACTTCAAGAGTTAATGGGCTATTTAAACAACATAGTCCAAGAGCCAAACACAGGTGGGCTGCGTTAATAACTTTATTTAACCCGCTTTTCCCCCTTTGAGAGGCACAAGCCATCCATTAATGCATTCATTAGAGTTTATGGCGTAGTTCTGCTTTTCTCCTAATGACACTGTCCAGACTCAGACTTGCTCAGCTAATTTAGCCCAGCTGCCCTTTGCCTCTCAGCAACAGGTTTTGTTCTTCAATCCTGCATGCGAACGTGTTCTGGTGATTAGTTCGTGTTGCATTGCTACTCTTTGCAACATTGGTTTGGGTATTTGCTGCATCGGAACCCACTTTTCCTTTGGCTGGGTCCCATGCCAGCCAGCGTGGCTTTGGGCAAATGCCCCGTGGGCAGCCCCGGGGAAAGGCAGTGCTGCCTAAGAGCTGCACCCCAATTCCCAGGTGGACTTGTGTTCCGATTTGATTGAACTGAACAGTTTATGACCTTCCTCTAACCAAAGACGCTACCAAGTTTTAATGCCCAGGTCTGCTGCAAGCATTGGTAACCATTCCTTGCTAGCGCCACGCCGGAGCCCGCTCCCTGACTTGTCCAACCGAGTCCAGAGACGTTCCTCCTGGACGCCGCCATCTCGGTGAAGTGTGTAATCGGGGGCTGAAGTGCTCGCTTCCCCCAGTAGCTACAGCCCAGCTAGCCTGTGCCTGTTTAGTAGCCAATTCCCCAGGTACTAATGAACATCACAAGGAATAAGAATGCCCAATGTGTCACTCGGACTCACAGCCAGGACCGGATGCACAGACTCAGCACTATCGGCTGCTGAAATGTGCTCAGTTTATTTGGGGATTTTTGTCAGATTAGGCTTTGCGGGTCTGCTAGTCCTGGAGTTTGCCTCTCAGGCAATTTGTGGCCAATGTGAACTAGCCTTCACCGTCTCAGACCCGAGCCATGCTGAGACCTCCGGGCTCTTTACTGCAGCTACTCCCCCGGGAGAGCATGTGCCCGCTAAGTGTGAATTAAAGCTGCACCTCGTCCCACGTGGCATAGTTAACGATCCCAGCGGACGGTGCTGGATGAGTTCTGGGTGGGACTTGCTACAACGCAGCAGGGGGATGGGCTCGTTGGCTCCCGAGGTCTCTTACCCCCCTAGGATTCTAGGATGCTCCCCAGACTGGCACTCGTGTTCTTTTGCACCCGTATTTGGAAAGGGAAAGCTAGTCCCTGCTACAAGCAGGGTGCAAGTCACTGAACATCTCTTACCGGTCCTGCCCTATTGCACCCTGGGTCCCTGCCGGAGCCGCACTGGCTGTCGCCTCTGACAACGAGCATGCCGTACGCTGCAGGCATGACAATGGTGAATGGCAGAAACTGAGACCCACCGCTGCTCCACTCCACTCGGCAGAGGAACGGCCCTTTCGGTGCTTGGATTGCAAATTCAGAGGGGCAGAAGATGCCCAGCTGGCAGGGTATCACCCATACAGTCCTGGCTGCTGCCTAGTGCACTGTGTGGGGAGAGACCTGGGCAGATGTATCCCCTTCGGGCAGTTGCTGTCTGGTTATTGTGCTCACTCCTGGCGCCTCGGAGGGAAACAGGAGCAGTGCAGCTGGTTAGGAATGTGGCAGTGAGGCTTGTCGGGAACGTGGCAGTGCAGCTGGTTAGGAACGTGGCAGTGCAGCTTGTTAGGAACGTGGCAGTACAGCTGGTTAGGAACATGGCAGTGCGCCTGGTTAGGAACTTGAGAATGCGGCTGGCTAGAAACATGGCAGTGTGGCTCGTTGAGGTTGTGGCAATGAGGCTGGTTAGGAACGTGGCAGTGCAGCACATTAGGAATGCGGCAGTGCGGCTGGTTAGGAACGTGGCAGTGTGGCGCGTTAGGGACGTGGCAATGAGGCTGGTTAGGAACGTGGCAGTGCAGCACATTAGGAATGCAGCAGTGCGGCTGGTTAGGAACGTGGCAGTGTGGCTCGTTAGGGATGTGGCAGTGAGGCTGGTTAGGAACGTGGCAGTGTGGCTCGTT